AATGATCGCGAGGCGTCTCTCTCTCTCTCTCTCTCTCGCTCGAAGGTTAGGAAGCGAGAGGAGGAGGAGAGAGAGAGAGAGAGAGGAGAAAACGGTGAAAAGCTTGGAACGGAGGCAAACGCGCGCGAGCAGAAAGGCGCGATCGGCGATCCTTTCCTTCCATCCTCTCCCTCTCGGTTCCTTTCTCGTCTCACTCTCACCGGCTCGGCCGAGAATCGGGGAATGTCCTCCTCGTGGCGAGAGTGCTCGTCAGTGTCTCGGTAGACCTCCATCTGGAGCCTAGTGCGCTGTGCAGAGGAAACGGCTCGTCACGTGTAACGGTGAACGTGCGGGACGTACGCGAGGCGGAAACGCGGCGTGCCGATCACGCGCAGAATCCCAAAGGTGGACGAGGAATCACGGTGATTCCTCCGCCGCCGCCGCCACCGCCGTCGCCGCCTTCCGCGCCCTTCCGATTCGATTCTCGAACGCGTCGATTGTCCGCGAGATTCCCACCCATCTTCGTGTTCACTGGTACGTGTTCACGCCACACTCGTTCGCGGTGTGATGAAAGAGGATTGGGACCACTCGCTCTTGCGCCGTCGTCTCGATGCGCCTTCACAGGTGATGATCGTTGATAATTCCAATCATTTTTCAATTATTATTCCTCTCTCTTCGATCCATTTCAATCTCGCGAAAAATATATATAATTTCTATCGCTTTTTCAACACATTTTCAACGGATGAGAAAAAAATGTTCTCTCGTGCAAAATGTGTGTAGGAAAAGACGCAAAGACTTGTCTGTTCGATCCCCTCGTTGTTTGGAAAAGCAAGATCGATTGAACGGCGAGAAAGGCGTAACAGCCGGGTTGTTAAACGCGTGCCGCCACGACCAATTGATGGGCCGCATTGTATCGCTAATAGTTGGCTCGTTCGTTGTTAAACGAGGCATAACTCTTTCACCCGCGATCCCGATGACACTGCATCAACGGTATAGAAAGCCACGGTGTGGTTCGCGGCGTAATGCGACCGCGAAAGGAAATTGCTTGAAATGACGGAGGGGGAGGGGTGAAAATCTCTCGAGTGCGGTTCGCGATTTGCGCGCAATTTAATCGAACGATTCAACTGCGTTATACACGGCGGTCGATCGGCCGGGGACGGTGCGATCTCTGCCTGGCTGTAATCAGGAGGAAATAATTTGTTTGGTCAAGCACCAGTTACGCGAAATCTGATTGGTTACAGATAATCGATCAGTTTACGTAGCGCGAGGAGGAATTAGGTCCCGTTTGCCGGTTATCGTTGCTAATCGTTCGACCGTGTTCGAGAACCCGAACTTCGATTTTCATCGTTTACTCGTCCGTTTCGAACGATAATATTTCCTCGGAAAATATGAAATCGAAATTAATTCGTTCGAACGAACGTTCAACTGCCCAGTCAATCGATCGGTAATCTTTCGTACGCGCGTTAAGTTCGAGAAGATAGGCGAGAAATTCGGGTTATAATTCGTTCATTCAGAAATTTCACTCGCAACAATTTGAATTAATCGATAAAAGTTGCACGAGAAGTTGGTGAGATGTTGGTTTCGTTTTCGGCTCGAGTCACCAGTTTTTCGCGTTCGCCTTTAAGATTCGAGCCAAGAAAAATCGGCGACTTTGTCGGTTCGCGACGGGAGTGGCTGGCACGACGTTACGCGAGGAGAACGAGTGAAAAGGACGAAAAGCTCAGCGGGGATGAAGAGACTTCGATCCCTCTTTGATACCAGGATTCCCCCCTCCCTACTCTCGCATGCGGTTTAAATTCACGAAAATCTTCTTTGGCAATTTCTTCCACGACGCCAGAGGATACGCTCGATTTCCAATTTTTTTTCTCCCGACATCGAGGGATTAAAGTTGAAACTCTAACGATTCGACCGTTGAACACGTTCAGTTCGATAATTCCATAATTTTTATCTTTAGAATTTTAAATTTTCAACTCTGCGAGAATCCTCTTGTCGACGAATATTGAAAATAATCGTTTTACGTTAAATGAACTTTGCACGAGACGCGACGCTATTTTTATCGTAATTAAATTTTCGCGGCATGCGATATTAGCCGCGCCCTCTAGCGGTTAATCGATAATCGATTCTGACATTAGATCGTGCGCGTCAGTCGTAACCCGCTACTGGTAGTGTTCGCGATATTTTCGTACGAGTCCTTCGTTAACCCTTCGTTTTTGAGTTTCGAATCATTAAAATACTTCCAATTATCGCAATGTCTTGATCTCGAGTGTAATAATTCGTTCTTTTCGAATCGTGTGAACCTCGATCGAAGCTTTCCTTCGCGTAAATAGTCTTCGCGATTCTTTCGGATGGTTCTTAGTGTCGATACACGGTGTGTTCTAATGGTGTGTTCTAGCTGAAACAAGTGCTACGGGGAGTCGACAAATTTCAAGTGACATTGCTAGTGCCGCGAAACGATTTTACGCGTTATATGCTGTGCAACCGAAATCGAAGTTAACCACGAGACGAAGAACGAGGAGCGCAGAAGAGAGGAAAAGACGCCGAGGGAGGCGACACCTTTAACCAGTTCGAAAAAACGGTGAGTCGACGAAATAAAGTTTAATAGCTTTTACGATCGTTACTTTCGACGCATAATTATCCTATAGTTTAATAGTTTTCGAGGCGATAACTTTGCGATGCAAAATCGCGAGAGGTAAAAGAACGATAGAAATTGGCAGGAAATGGCGGGAAATGGCGGGAACATGGCGGAACATTACGTGACGTCACGATAACGTTTATCGATTTCGCAACAATAATATCGATAATCGATAGAGATTGGCGAATACATAAATCGAGACGAAGTTTTATACGACGTAATAATGTTCATTTATAATCATTGATACGATTGATATTTTCAAGCAATGCATATTCGATGGCGATATTAGATTTTTCTTAAAAAATTTCCAGGCTATCGCGACATCTATGAGTCGTAAACTATATTTCACGCACATGTGCGCAATGTCTTCGCGTTTGCGTCAAATGTTTAGGGATACATTTTTCCATATATATTTTCTTTTCTTTATATTTTTGATTATTTTTTAATTTTCTGGTTAATTTTTTAAAATCGTAAAAAAGAAAAAAAACTTTGAATATCTTACATGTGTGCGTAAGGAAACAAGGATCATCGTGTAGAAGGTTATGTTCGAGGTTATGTTCACACACATTTTCGAAAGAAACACGTTTCGATTTCCTTTTTCGATAAGGATAAAAATTAAAAATTAGTTTTTGGAGATTTCATTTAACGAAATTACGAATTTTAAATATTTACTTCTTATAAAAATTTAATTTTCTACGATAAAATATATATATATATATATGTGACAGACCAGACGGGTTAAGTTTTGAAATAATCGCGGATGATAAACAGCTCTGCGAAGTAAGTTAACGAGTAATTAAATAAGCGGAAAATTATTTCCGTTCGTTCGAAGATAACTTTTTGCGAGGAAGTACTTGATAATTTTGATATACGAGAACGGTACGAGACGGTACTATAATTCTCGCGATAAAATTAACCAGAAAACGTTGTATATCCGATAATAGATGATTCGTGGAGAAATTTTGCTTCGTTTAAGATAATCCGTACATTTTGAAATTTTTCACGTTTCTTCCAACGAAGATTATCCTGAGGGGGGGGGGAGGAGGAAGAGAGAGAGAGATCGAAAGATAGAGACCAGACAAGCAACGAACGAAACATTTACCGAACATTTGCCTGCTAATTCACCTATGCGAACAGTGTAATCCGGTTATGTTGTTGAAACCGCAGGAATGTGCGGCTGCGTACCTGTGCGGTTAATAGAACCTCTCCTATTCTCCGTCTATTCGCGCGTGTACACGCGCGTCCCCGTCTGTATTTACACGCGCTCGATTTCGTACGCGCGGCCGTGTGTGCGTCGCTTGGCCGGTATGCGGCGCATGGCTCGACCGCGAACAAAAGGGTGAGAAAGAAAGGAACTGGGTCAATGTGATTTCGCGAACTCTTTCCATACCCGCGATCGCAATTTAACTTCCACGACCGCGTGTTGTTCGTCGTGTTTTACGAACCGCCGTTGCGCCCCATTTCGCCTTCCACCACTCGACATCCCGTTTAAGCGAAAAAACAACCTTTTAATGGGTGTAATCGGGCCGATTTTCGGAGACAAAGGAATTCCACGATGAAATTCACGCTCACCTGCGAATAGTTTTCTTTGAGAGGAACTTGCAGACTCTTGTTTGCTCGAGTATTCGATATCGGTAAAGGTGTACTGTTTTACCGGTTTGATCACTTTCACTTTCGGTGCTATTATATATTTTGCTCGTTACTCGAGCAATGCTTGGGAAACAAATTTATCCACGCATCGGTCGTTCTCTCACATCTATTGTACATATTTTGCCGTTCATCCCGGCAACAATCATCGGACGTTGCGTGTGATATCCACGATATCTTTATCTTTTCGTGGATTAAAATTCGCGAATCGGTTGGGAATAGAGATGAGAATAGGGAAAAAGCAGGAACAAGGTGGGACGAAATTCCGTGTCTCGATTATCGATTCCACACCCCCCTCGCTACGTGTCCCGCAATCGAATTGGCCGGTTTGTCGGGGCTCGGCGAACGTTTGCCCGCCAATTTACTTAGGCACGACGTGCGTGAACCTGCGACAACCTCGTTAACGTTATCGGGTACACGGTAACGTGCAAATGCGCCACGATTATCGCCCGGTGCAAATTACGCTCATCCCCGAGATTAAAATTTTCGCGCGTTTCGCGAAATTTACGCGCGATTAAACAAAGAATCGAGAATCGTGTCCGTCGGAAAGTCCGTCAAAGTCCGTCACTGAGAGATAAGTTGGAGATTTTATTAATTGCTCTCGATGGATACAGCTCGTAACTACTAATCAAACACGAGTTCGAGCATCGAAATAGAAAGTCAAATATTTGGAGAAAAGGGGAAAAAGTAACAATGAAAGAGAAATCTTGGAATAAACGTTGAAGGAATTAGCAGAAACTGATTATCCAACGCCTACTTACCTCTCCATCGAGAATCTCTTAGTCCTTCTTCTTATCGTTATTAAGAGCTTTTCGCGAAGTGAAAATAGAGGAGAAAGTCTGTACTAGTCGTGTTATCCTCCCGGAAGTTTTGAAGAGCGTAAACGACATGATTCGAAGAAGCTCGACAGCCAAAAGAGAAATCGTGGAAAATCGTAATCGATCAAATTTCGCGATTAATTAAGACGACTCGTTCGTTACATCTTTCAACGAAGACGTGAAAACACTGTTTCGCGCTGTTGGATTACGTCTGTTGGAACGTGAACGATGCTCACGATAATTATCACTGTGTCGTAAATTGGAACGGAATTTTAGAACGTCGCATAAGTAGACGTTGCGGGAGCAATATTGGCCCGGCACGATTGTTAATTTTCGGGTTGGACGTCGTATCGCGATTATCCGAGGGTGCAAATTGCCTCTGTTGGAACGAACTTGAGAGTTACCTGGACGTCTTAATGGGGTTGGCTCGTACTCGCCGCGGATTTAAACAACCTCCGCCCGGGAACCAACTTAACTTCCAGTTAACCGCCGTCTCTCTCGCGAATCTCTCGTTTCCTTTTCCTCGAGGAGCGTGGAACCCTCGTTTCGACTAGATCGAAATTAAGAAAATCGCTCGTGACCTGGTTTAAATTTGCTTCGTGAACATTCTTCTTCCTCTTCTTCTTCTTTTTATTCCCGAATCGTACATATACTTTTTATCCAGTATTTGTATTCTCGTATCGATGTTTCCATCATTTCATTTCGTCCAATAGTTTAATTTTACGTTATTTACGGAATAGAATGCGACGATGCGTATTTTTAGACTTTCAAGTGGCGAGAGAGAAAAGGAATAAAGATTGAAATATTTCACGCGTAAAAATGAATTGTTCCAGGATTAAATCGCATTTTTCACAGCTTCCAAAATCGGTATTTATTACGATCCGTGCATATCGTATCGCGTATCCTTCTCTCGGTATCGACTATAATAAATCGAATCTCGGCTCGATTGTTTCCCGTTGTTAAATATTTACAAAGAACCCGTGTTATTTTTTTCTTTTTTCTTCTTTTTTTTCTCTCCCTTCAATTCGTTGCCCTGTTGGTAAACAGAATCGGCGAGCGTACGGTCATCGAAATTGCATAAATTTTATTATCAATTGACCAATTCTAGTGCTTTTTTATCCCGTACGATATTATCGACGCCCACGATCGGAGGACGAGCATCGATCGTGATCCCGATGTATTCGTTTTGTATAAAAACAGAGTCGTTCGATAATTTTTTTTTTTCTTTCTTTCCCCTCCTCCAACGAATTTTGTTTCGGCAATTTCACCGTGAAATACTCGATTTCGATACTCGTTCGACGATGATCGATTCGACGCGAGAATTTATATATTCCACAGGGATTATTATTCCGTATGGCTTGTAGCGAGGTAAATCTGCAGCAGGGGTGAATTGGTTCGAATAAGTTGCTAGATAGACTAGAACTACCGGTTGTTTAGATATCGATTATTGGATATTTGATTCGATTAAATCCGAATACCGATTCATTCATCCCCCGATTATGTATAACCGATATAAACTTTTGCTCGTGTAATACTCTTTTACAATTATACTCGAATTATTGATATTAGCCTCCATCCTTTATTGATGTAACGAGGTAATCGAGGTATCGCATAAATGGTTAAACAAATGCGGGGATATTAAAAGTTAATTCCTCGATTAAATTGTATCGATGGAAAAAGGAAGAAAAAATCGTTTCGATATAGTATAGAGCAAAATTTGCATCTTATTTGCATACCGTGCGTCTTACGTCACCCAATCTGGCACCACGAATACCATAATTCTCGTAACCGCGCGACACTCGTCCCCTTCCTCTCGACGACTGGGGAAGTGCTAAACCGCGAAACGTCGCGAAATAATTGTCGTTGCGGATTCGCCGCCGTCCTCAGACCCGTCAATTATATCGCGTCCCACCAACAAATTTTCCTCCATTCCTTCTTTACCTTTTCTCTGCCTGTCCATCATCGTCTTGGCGACCCGTCTTTAACGAAGCGGCAACACTTTTCGAGCTTCTCTCCCTTTCGAATTTATACGAATTTATATTTCTTCCCTGTGGAAAAAAAAACAACGATGCGGATTTAAGATTTGAAACGTAAACGTTTCAATTTAAAACGGAACGATCGAGGATCCTCGAATAAATAACGTGGGATGGAGGAAAATTTGTCGCTTTATTTCGCGTGGCTCGATCGCGAATCGGTTAAAATTCGACGGCATTGTGCGCTGGAACAACTTTGACCAGATTGGCCAGATCGTTCGGGCAACATTCCAATCTTTTCGAAACTAATTACAGTCGCGGAAATTCATATTGATCTCGCCTCCCCTCCCCTCCCTCCCTCCCTCCCCTCTATAGTGTCGATTAATTAAATAACGCGATCGCTAATTTTCTACCTCGAGGCTCCATCGTCGCGATATCGACGATATGAAATAATAATTTGGAACGGGGAAATTTTCTCACAACGACAGCCGGTAATCTCGATCGT